ACGGTTCAGCCATAGCGAAAGATAAAAACCAGCACTAAGAGGCAGAGGTTAATCTGTTTTAAAATGGAACCTTTCCTGGGTGTTTTGACTGCCGGCAACACCATAGGAAATTGGGATATGTGAGACCTTTGCACCTTATTAAGATCAAGTGCCTTATTCTGCATTTGTCAGATGGTGGTGGTTGTCGAGTCACTTCCAACTTACGGGGAACTTAGGAATTAATAACATGCCCCCCCCAAGGTCCAATCCTTAATAGACCAGCTCAGGTCTTGCTAAGTGTAGACTTTTGGGTTCCTTTAGGGAGCCAGTCCACCCCATATTGGGTCTTCCTCTTTTCCTGCTGCCTTCAGCTTTTCCTACCATGATTGTCTTTTCCAGAGACTCATGCCTTCTCAAGCTGTGCCCAAAGTAGGAATCAAAACACTGTGAATTAAAACACTCCGTCTTGCATCTACTGATGCCTGTTCCATATGGCTGAGAGATCTGTGACAAAGTGGTCCTCAAGTAACCTTCTGTTATTTGATGGGCGGGTGGATTAAACCCCTTTCCTTACATTATACATTTTTCCCTATTTTTTTCTTTCATACTGAAATAATGATTTTCTCTCTGTGTGTGTGTTTTTTAAATTGAAGGAAATAGATACAATAACTTTAGCTCTTTCCCCTGTGCCTTCACTCCATGGGGAATAGAAGCTGACTAGTTACAGTGATGCCTCACTAGACGCTTATAATCCATTCCACTGAAATTGCTGTTTAGCGAAATCATCGTCTAGCAAAAAGCATTTCCCCATTGGAATGCATTGAAACCTATTTAATGCGTTCCAATGGGGAAGAATCGTTGTTGTCTAGCAAAGATTGGCCATAGGAAAGCCGTTTTGTGGACGGCTGATCAGCTGTTTAAATTGCTGATTTGCGAAGCTTAGATCCCGAAAACATCTGTTTTGTGAGCGCGGAGGGAGCTATCAAAATCGTTGTCTAGCGAAAATCGGTTTGCGAAGCAGGGACCAAACATTGTCCAGCAAAATTCCCCCATAGGAATCACTGTTTTGAGAATCACTATAGCGATTGCAAAAAGTCAATGTCTAGCGAAAAAACTGTCATGCGGGGTAACTGTTTAGCGAGGCACCACTGTAAAATGCAATTAAGAGAGTAGCCATAGAGGGGTGGTGGAAAACTGGGCTACTTTTCCACATATGGAAAGTGGGATGATACTGTGAGATTTGTGAGCCCTTTTGCTGCTAGAAAGGTTTTACACAACACTGCAGCCTGTGGGTGCTGAAAGTCCAGATTCAGGACCAAAATCTGCTAGAATCACAGGGGAGGGAGGGACCTCAAAACTCAGCTAGTTCTACTTTTTGGGGGGTGCAAGGAATTGCCCGAGAGCAGTTCTGTCTTCACAAACAAATAGATTGACGAGGGAGTACTCCGAGACGGATGTTGTATCCAATCAGACACAGAAAGGCAGAGGAGAATCCACGTCACACCTTCTTCCATCACCGTTTCCTCACTTCTATATACACCGAAAAGCCCGGACCTCATTCTAAAGGTGATACTTTTCATAGAATCAGTCTAAAAACTTGTCACATCTCCCAATCTTGCATTTGAAAAAAAAAAAGCCTGAAATCATAGAATCACTGAAAAGTGAAGTTGGAAGGGACCTCTAAGGCCATCAAGTCCACCCCCCTGCTCAAGGCAGGAATACCAATCAAGGTATATCTGCCAGCTGATTATCCAAGTTTTCCTTGAATCCCTCCAGTGTTGGAGCACTTACCCACCTCTTGAGGTCATCGGTTCCCTTGTCGTACTGCTCTAACTGTTAGGAAGTCTTTCCTGATATTCAACCGAAATCTGGCTTCCTGTAGCTTGAGCCCATTGTTGCATGTCCTGCACTCTGGGATGATGGAGAACAGATCTTGTCCCTCCTCTGGATGACAGCCTTTCAAATATTTGAAAAGTGCTGTCATATCTCCCCTCAGGCCCAGTTCTTTCAGTCTTTCCTCCTAAGGCTGGGTTTCCAGCTCCCTGATCATCCTTGTCGCCCTCATCTGAACTTGTTCCACTTTATTAGTATCCTTCTTGAAGTGTGGTGTCCTGAACAGGACACAATACTCAAGGTGAGGCCTAACCAGTGCCGAATAGAGGGGGACCAGCACCTTGCGGGATATGGAAACTATACTTGTGTTAATGAAGCCTAAAATATCATTGCCCTTTTTTGGACCACAGTGGGAATTATATGACTTCTGTGCCCCCTCGCCCCCCCCAAAACGCTTCCTCCTGGAAGCCTGCAGGCGTGTCTGACCTGCCTTTTAAAAAAGGCCTAGCCTGCTCTAATTTCCCTCCCCCAGTGGTTTTATGGCACAGAAAATCAATTGCCAGTTGCTTTTGGCTTCATTTTGGAGTAAGGGAATTGCTACGGCCTTCTGACTTGAAACGGTCACCTAAATCGGCTGCAGATGCAGTGACCCAGTGGAGTGACTGAATCTGCCCACCGCTTCAGTGGCTGTAGCGTGGAAATGGATAAGGTATGTTGAGTGGTTCCCTACAGCAGTTTTTGCCAAGGAGCACCCTACAGGTGTGTTTAACTACACGTCCCATCGTTCCCATGGCCTCTGATGGGCACCAGGCTGAAGAACCATAGCACTGCAGAAAGTCAATTGTCTAGCCCAGCCTTTTCCAGCCTTACGTCCCCCGGTGTTCTTGGACTACAACTCCCAGAAATCCAGTGTAAAAAAAGGATGATGTATTTGCACATGTCGTGGTCATGTGATAAAATGGGGAAGGAATGGACACAAGCCTTCAGAGAAATTAGGGAAACGTAACTGGGTTTGATATTCAAATGTCTCCACTCCCTGCTTCATTGAATACAATTAATGATAGTCAACTGAAGAGAGAAGAAGGGAGCTCTAATTACTTTTAACAGCCACAGTCGCAATTCTTGTTTGCAAAGAATTGGAAAAGTGATCACTCAATTAATATTGAAGAATGGTACAGAGAAATGTGGGATACGGTAATTAATGATAAACTGGCTTGGGAAATGAAATTAAGAAGAGGTTTATCAAGAAGCAATGACTTAAAAAAAAGAGGAATTTATTTCTGGAAGATGTGTTTCAGAAAGGGAGGGGGTATAAACCGGGAGAAGAATCAATGTGTTTCTGGAGGGAAAGCGGGTGGAACGGAATGTCAGAACATGAAAGGAAGACTCTTAACCCCGAAGGTGAAGTTGGCACAGGTTGAGTAATCTGTTTAAGAGAAATGAACTAAGGTAACGCAATGTAGAAGTGAGTTTTGTTTTTTGTTTTTGGTTTGGTTCATGTTGTTTTTGATAAAATAAAAACATATATTTTTAAAAAGGACTACAACTCCCAGAAGTCCTGGCCAGTACAGCGAGTGGTGAAGGCTTAGAGGTGTTTTAGTCCGAGAACATCTGGCTGGGAACATCTGGCCCTAGTCCAACCCATTATGAATGCAAGGAATCCAGAACTGAAGGACGGCCATTGCACCAGGCATGGGGGACTTGAGTTTCTACAGGACTGCGACACCCATAATTCACCAGGAATCCCCCTAGGTAGAATTCAGGAGGAATCAGCCAAAAATAAAAAGGCCCCAGGGCCAGCTGTCGCTACCTACACACGTTGTCTTCAGCCACCATTCTACACCCTGAAGAAGAAAACCACGCCAATGGTCCCCGGGAGGCACAACGCTTCTGGAGACTGGCAACGAATCTAGGGAGGGGTAGTTTTGCTGCCCATTAGGCTCCATATTGTTCCTTCCCAAGCAAACACCGGCCATGAGCCCCTATGACTCCCATTGGGCACGGTGCCTTCCCGGGAACACGGGGGCAGTTTCATCGTAACAGCTCCCCCATCCATGTCTCCAAGGAGGACTACAAGCAGCTATATGGATCCACATCCACAAATCCATTTTAGAAGTTTCCATCTCCACCCAGGAGCAGGGGTTTTGTAAAGCTCACAGATCTTAATTGCTCAACCCACAGCAAATGGCTTTGCATTACAACAGAGATTGCTGATTACCCTAAAGGGGCCAAAATCCAAATTTATATTTTATGCACACTTAAGGGAAAACATGTAGAGATTTCTGGCTTACGCCCTTGCACACAATCGTCTGCACAACTGATTTTCGCAAGCAGGGGTTGCCCGCGTGCACCAAGGAGAGCCTGCACACTCGATTCCTCCTACACCATCACTGAAGTGAAAAGAATTCTAGTCCTTAAGAAGACTGAACAGGCAGCACAGGATCTCACGGGTCTACAGTACTCTGATCCTGAGAGTCTTGGAGCCACTGTTGGTATCGGTAGAAAGCATTAAAATACCCATGCAAAACCACACTGCAGACGAAGGAAGTTAGATGTATTCAGCACATGCAGAGAGAGAGAGTGTGCTGACACTCACCGGTTTGATGGTTCGAGCCGGTTCGTTTCTCGGTCCAAAAGGCGTTCGGCACTTCCCAGCCCCGCCTTCTTTGGAGGGCGGCCACTCAGAGGCAGACCGCCCAGGTTTCCCTGGCCCGCCTCCTCCGGGCCCTGCCTCTGAGTGGCCACCCGTCGTAGGAGGCGGGGCTCTGAAGTGCCGGACACTCGTTCGGCTGATATACGAACCAGGACGAACTGCGAAGCCAGCGTTTCATGCCCATTCCCACTCGGTGTTGTCACTGGGGGAGGATTTCTAGGACATTTCACATCTTCTCTGCAACTTACATTTGAACCCCATAAGCAAGTTCAAACATGTTTATGGATAATCTGGCCTTTCTCTTCAGATTACTCATAAAATGTGTTTGAACTAGAGATGGAGATGGACCGCCAAAATGGCAGTTCGTGGATTATCAAGGTTGACGACCCACAAATTTCCCCAGGGGATTTTCGGCGAACCACAAATCGGTTCATCGGGAAAAACAAACCAAAAAAAGCTTAGCCCCCACCCACCCCCACTCTCCTTTCACTGCTCCCAACGGAGTTGGCCAACCACGTCAACGTCACCCACTTACTCGGGCCCGTGCCGGTCCCAATCGTGTTGATGGTTGCTGGGACAGAGGAGGAGGAATAGAGGGGCAGGTGTCCATTCTCACACCCCAGATTTTTCTCCTGCCAGCTGGAGGCGTTGACGCAGATGCCGGAGTCCCGAGAGCTTTGCCACCCGTTCAGCTTATCATCCGAGTTCTGTCTTTGGTGATAGTAGTGCGACTGCCCGTAATCCACCGAGTCGGAACGGCCCCGGTTTTGGCTGCTGAAAGGACCCGACGTACGATCTTCCAAGTGGTTCAGCCACATGGCCAAGGCGCTCCTGTCCTCCAGGGACGTGGCGGGGTGGATCAAAGCATAGGACAAGAGTTGCCGGCTCTCCTCGATGTGTTGGTTGTGTTCGATCGAGTGAGCCAGGATTTTGGGGAGCAGCTTCATGTACTCCCCTTTGGCTTCGATGTTCCCGGGCTTCAGCAAAGGCAGGTGGGTGAGCAGTAAGGAAATCACTTTGTCCTTCGATTCTTGCTGCCACTGGTTAATGATTCCTGGGCGGGGAAAAGGGAAAAAAAAAAAAGGAAAATGGGGGTGGGGTGGGGTGGGGAGACAGAAAGAGACAAGAGAGTTGTGAAATCAGCAAACAGACTCAGGAAACCAGTAAAGGTCCAAAACACATTTTAGGTGCCCTTGCAACCCTCAAAAGACGAAAAGCAGCCCCCAATCGCATGACGGAATCAAAGGCGTACAAAAGTGAAAACACAAAACAATTTTAAAAATGGAACTTTGATTATCTCTGCGGAAATCTGTGGACTTCTGAGTAACAGAAGTGGGAAATAGTCTAAATGTGCTTAGGACGACTGCAAAGCAGCTTGAATAACATCTGTAATCATTGAGAGAAGAAGTCGGGAGTGATCTCTCCTTTCGATGATTCAAATATATTCACGCTGGAAGCAACAAGGGAAAAGGATTGGGGCTAGAGAAGGTCACTTTTCTGGATTACAACTTCCCAGGATGATCTATCAAATGGTAGGTGCTGGGAATTGCAGCGCAGAATGATAATTTCCCTTTCTTGATCCTGTGATTTTAGAAGCATTCATAATTTTAGTAGCCATTTTCGAAACCTGGAATGTCCCTTCAGCAGTGGCCGGACCTTGAAGACAAAACAACTGGTCATTGCCTTAGGCCAAGAACGTGCAATGTCCACTCAAAAGATACACAGTGGGACCCAGACAGAGTTGAGGTCTCAGCAGAGGTAGCAGCTGCACACGAAAGGAACAGGAAGGTCTACGTAGGGTACAGAAGGACAGGCACCCCCTTTCCCTGGCCCATATGCACCTAAATTGCCTTCGGTCCACAAGAACCCTTGACCATCATGCAGCTACTTCCAGCATCAACCACACGTTCCAGACCTTGTGGTCTCTCTCTCTCTCTCTCTCCCCTTCCTTGCTGGAATTGTAGTTGTGTTTGCCTAAGGGCTGTATGACTTGCCACTGCTAATTGAGGACAACTGACATTCATCAGATGATGATGATTAGAATTGCTGAGCTGGAAGTGGATCATCCGCTACTCTGGACGGCGCACATCTTGTTGTGAGCCACCCAGAGTAGACTATATCTAGATGGGTGGCATATAAGTGCAATAAATAAATAATAAATAAATATCCAGTCCATCCCCTGTCAAGGAGGCCCAGTGGGGGAATCGAACTCCCAACTTCTGGTTCCTCGGCCAGAGACCTAAACCACTGAGCTATGACGTGACAGGGCACATCCTGGTTGTCCTGCTCATGTGATGAGACATGTGATTGAGATGCATTCCAGCCCCTCACCAGTTAGTAGCAATTAGCTACAGCAGATAACACAAACCCTATGCATAATAGGATTCTCCCCCAGCCTCTCTTTCTCTCTCCCACCCCCTCAAACACAACTTAAAAGAAGAAAGTTAGTTCAGTGGTGTGTGTGGGTGTGTAGGGGGGGGAGAGACTTGTTTCAGAGGCTGTCGAAAGTTGTCATGCTTGGCATCACAAAGCTTAGGAAAGATGGAGTGGGCGAGAGAAGCAAGAAACGTCGAGACTCGTCCTGGCCAGGAGTTACCGCCCTGGCAACTGTAACTCTAATAATTACCAACTTAGAAAGGCAGATTGAAGGATGCCATGATCAATGTACACCTTAAGGGGCACAGAATCCAATCGCTTAGCTCCATCCATGTTGGCAAAAGCGCCTGCACCTCGCTGAAAATCAAGGCAGAACCTGGACAGAAGGAGGGCATTGTCTTCAAGAAACTCAAACGTTCTCAAGATGTGTACAGTACAAGAAATGAATACAAATGCACCCCTCAAAAGTCTTAACACAGATTGGTACGAGAATCCTGCAGTGTTTCTTCTACAATTGTCTTCAATCAAACGTTCTCAAGATGTGTACAAGAAACGAATACAAATGCACCCCTCAAAAGTCTTAACACAGATTGGTACGAGAATCCTGCAGTGTTTCTTCTACAATTTCTAAACAAGACAGCCATTTATAACAAGCGGCAAGAACTATAATTAAAGTCCAAAAGGGCTGAAAAAACAGGGACGTGAGGTGGGGGGGGAAATACATTGCCACGGGAATCTAAGAGTGACCTACTAGCAAATGGGTGTACTAGTCTTACACAGTTATTTATAAATTTGGTTATAAAATGTTGCACGGCTGCCTTTTCGTTCTGCAACAAGATCACAGCACCAAGGCGGTGTATTTAAGGGTTCCAGTTGTTAGCAAATTGCCCTTAAATTGCTGTTTTATTACACCCTTGTTTTCAGTGGAACAACACACTCTATAAAACACTCCCCTTCTCTCCTGAGAACTCCAGATAATTTCCTCAGGCCAGAGGAACAGCTGAAAATTAGGGTCAGACCACAGGTTAAAGCAAAAGCGTTATTTCCTCCTCTTACAACTTCATCCCCGGAGGCAATGCATAACTTTCGGTGTCATTAGCCCAGAGACATCCAGACAAAGAAGCAAATAAAAGCGGTGCTCTCTGCCAATTACAAAAGAAAACCAAACTGGCTTGCCAAATCCAGGCTGAAGTAAGTGGCACCCACACCCACACACAAAAAGAGAAAATACAGTGGTGCCTCGCTAGACAGTTCCCCCGCATTACAGTTTTTTCGCTAGACATTGGCTTTTTGCGATCGCTATAGCGATTCGCAAAACAGTGATTCCTATGGGGGAATTTCGCTGGACAATGTTTGGTCCCTGCTTCGCAACCCGATTTTCGCTAGACGACGATTTTGACAGCTCCCTCCATGCTTGCAAATCGGGTCTTTTCGGGACCTAAGCTTCGCAAGACAGTTATTTAAACAGCTGATTGGAGGTTCGCAAAGAAGCTTTCCTATGGCCGATCTTCGCTAGACAACGACGATTCTTCCCCACTGGAACGCATTAAACAGGTTTCAATGCATTCCAATGGGGAAATGCTTTTCGCTAGACAATGATTTCGCTAAACAGCGATTTCAGTGGAACGGATTATCATCGTCTAGTGTTGAGCAAATGTATAACCCCTCACTGGAGCAAATTCAGAGGAGAGCAGTAAGGACGGCTGAAAGCAGCAAGACTGAAAGAACTGGGCATGTTGAGCCTTGAGCAAAGAAGACGGAGGGGAGATAAGAGAGCACTTTTCAAAGGCTTGAAAGGTAATCATCCAGAAGGGGAGCAGGATCTGTTCCACATCATCCCAGTGTGCATGTCACAATGGGCTCAAGTGACAGGAAGCCAGATTTCGGCTCCATATTAGGAAAAACATCTTAACTGTTAGAGCAGTACAGCGATGGAACCTAAGACCTTGGGAGGTGGGGAACGCTCCAACACTGGAGGAATTCAGGAGAACATTGGACCACCCTCAATCAGATCGGTTTTGACTTGGGATTCCTGCCTTGAGCAGGGGGTGGGACTCAAAAGGCCTTAGAGGCCCCTTCCAACTAAATTATTCTAAACACACACTCATATATACACACACACACTAATGAACTGCTAAAATGGTGGATGCAGATTTTTGGAATAGCCACGGCTGCCAGCCCGTGTGGGCAACACTGGCTTAGACAGATCAAGTGCCCAACTCCGTATAAAAAGAGGCTTCCTGAGTCCCTCTGCCCTTAACTGGGGATGGGAGAACAGTCACCTGGGAGGGGGTCCCAGGGCCCATCCAGAATCAATAATGTGGGGGATGGAACCCCTGTTGTCAAACAGCTGGTGCAGATGCTTCTGGAGCGGTAGGAAGTCACTGCCATAGTTAAGGTGGCATGCAGCTTTAAATGTCCTTCTGAACCAGCCAAAATGAGATTCAAAACACGGAGAAGTCAACCCTGATGTTTCATGGCTGCAACGGCCAACCTCTGTATTCTGGGGGAAGGGGTGCACAGTTCTATGCAGGGGCTTTGAGATCAATCGAAGGCAAAGATTCAAACAACTGGACTATGGACTTCTACCTGTCCCGGCTCTGTTGTTACGCAGGACGAAATCACGGGTTAGGCTGAGTGGAGGAACGTCCAGCAGAAGGACACCCCACTTACCAGCCTAGGAGGGTTGCGTAGCCATGGGGAACCATGGCTTGGAATAGTTCCTTTTCTGAACCACGCCTCCCGGGATCCTCCAGCAAGCTTGGCCCATCATGTGAGGTATGTGGCAACTTTGCCTTCCCCACTGGCATCGGAGGCTGCCCCACTCTTTTGTGCAACATCAGTGACAATGTGCCCTTCCCTGTTTGCAAGTTCATAGAATCCTAGAATCATGGAGTTGGAAGGGGCTTAAGAAGGCCATCAAGTCCAACCGCCCTGCTCAAGGCAGGAATCCAAATCAATGCAGATCTGACAGGTGGTTGCCCCACTTCGCTTGAAGGCCTCCGGTGCTGGAGCGCTCACCACCTCCCGAGGTCATGGGTTCCGTTGTCGTACTGCTCTAACAGTTAAGACGTTTTTCCTGGTATTCTGCCTAAATCGGGTGTCCTGTAGCCTGAGCCCATTATGACATATCCTGCACTCTGGGTAGATCGAAGAACAGAACCAGCTTCTCCTCTGGAGGACCATCTTTCAAGCATTGGAAAAGTGGTGCCACCTAGCCTTCTTCTCTCAAAGCTAAACGTCATTTTAGCCTTTCCTCCTAGGACTTGGTTAACAGTCTCCTGACCGTCCTTGTTGCCTTTCTCTGAAATTGCTCCAGTCCTGACCTAAAGAAGATGGTGGGGATCTTCTTTTCTGTTGCACCGTGATTCCAACTGCTCCCTGGAAGGACAGATCCTGAAGCTGAGGCTCCAATCCTTTGGCCATCTCATGAGAAGACTCCCTGGAAAAGACCCTGATGTTGGGAAAGAGTGAAGGCAAGAGGAGAAGGGGACAATGGAGGATGAGATGGTTGGACAGTGTCATCGAAACGACCAACATGAATTTGATCAAACTCTGGGAGGTCGTGGAAGACAGGAGGGCCTAGCGCATTAATTGGAACAAGTGATTCCAATTAATGCAATGACAGGTAACGACCCCTCCCCACCAGCTGGTTACATTCTGGAAAGCATTGCTGGT